TCGGAGGTGCCCAAATTCGAGTTTGGTCCGACCGTCCCCTCCCTGCGCCTACTCTGGAAGCTCCTCTGCGAGGTCTTTCCCTTCAGACCCAAAGGGGCGCGCGCTCAGTTGCTCCACGTCCGCCTCTTCCCCAGGCCCTGGCGGGGGAGGGGGTGGGTAGGCAGGGACCTGGATCTGATTAGCTGGGAGGGGAAGCCAAGGTCCCAACAGCTCTCTCCTGTCTCCCAGCCTCCTCGAGGAGGAGGGAGGGACGGTACAAGAGAGGAGGGGCGGGGGTCCCATCACTGAGCACTGAGGCCGGGGGTCTGAGCCGCCGCCGCCGCCGCCGCCGCCGCCGGGCTCTCACCTCACCCCCCAGCCCCGGGCTGCGGCCATGGGACCCCCTTCCAGCTCCGGCTTCTACGTGAGCCGCGTGGTAGCCCTGCTGCTGGCCGGGCTGGCTGCCGTGCTCCTGCTGGCACTGGCCGTACTCGCCGCCCTGTACGGCCACTGCGCTCGCGTCCCGCCGTCGGAGCTTCACGACCGCGGGGGCCCGCACGCCGCGCCCTCCCCGCCAGGCAGGCAGGAGCCGGCGCGAACCCCGAAGCCCGGCCCCAGTCTGGAGACGGAGGTGGCGCCCACCCCGCGCAACTGGCGACCCCCGGGGCCCTGGGACCAGCTGCGCCTGCCGCCCTGGCTCGTGCCGCTGCACTATGAGCTGGAGCTGTGGCCCCGTCTGAAGCCAGAAGAGCTCTCGAGGCCGGCGTTGCGCTTCACTGGCCGCGTGAACATCACCGTGCGCTGCATCGCGGCCACGGCGCGGCTGCTGCTTCACAGCCTCTTCCTGGACTGTGAAAGCGCCGAGGTGCGGGGACCACTGTCCCCGGACGCCGGAGACGCCACCGTGGGCCGCGTGCCGGTGGACGAGGTGTGGTTCGCGTTGGACATGCAGTACATGGTGCTAGAGCTCGGCGAAGCCCTGCAGCCCGGGAGCCGCTATGAGCTGCAGCTCAGCTTCTCCGGCCCGGTGTACCAGGACACCAGGGAGGGACTCTTCCTCAATCTCTACACGGACCAGGGTGAGCGCAGGTAAGGGCAGGCCGGCCCTGGCTTCCTCGGCCCCCGTCCTGCATTCCCCGCGCGCAGGCTGCGGGTTCAGGTGCTTAGGTGCGCGTCTCCTGCCCTTCGCAAAGAAACCCACCCCATCCTTCGCGATGTTTTCTTCTAGAGTCAGAGGGTGAGCGCCTCCTTCCTCCCTTTCCCTCTTCCTTTGGCCAGGTTTCAGCCCCATCCCTGCCCATCCAGTTCGTTTCTATCGTTGCCCCTTTTAAGGTCGCTGCTACCTCAAAAGTTTATTTTCCTCTTCAGAGAACCCCTTTGTCCTCTAACCCAGAATTTACTCAGGGCAACGAGCAAACCCCTCGCTACTCAAAGTTTGGTCAAAAACTTTGAGTTGCTGGTCCGCGGTCCCAAAGTAACATCTGGGAGGTTGTTAGAAATGCAGACTCTTAAGCCCCACCCTCGACCAAGGGGATCCGAATATGCGTTTACCGGAGCTCCTCGGGTGATTCACCCGCGTTAGAGTTGGATAAGCACGGGGCTAGAGCACCGTTGCCGCTCTGCGGCTCCTCCCCAGCGCCTCTCTGCGCTTTTCCTGCTCTCTTTTGCCTGGGCGCTCCGTAACTGCTGCTCTTGCAACAGATAGACCCACGTCGCGGCTGTTAGTTTCCATAGTAGTTTTCTTTTTGCTAAGGTTCTCCAAAACTTCAGAATCCCCTTTCATTCCTGCCCTCCCACCCGCTGCCCGGGCCCCGCGTGTCGTTTTGCGGCTGAGCAGCGGCATCCCCTCCCCTCCCCGCTCTTTAACCGGCTATGTGGCAGAGTTTCGGGATTCAAAAAAAAAAAGTAAAACCGATGACAAGGGACCTCCCCTCTGAGTCTGCAGGCTCACATAGTGTACATGTGTTCTCTTTACACTCGTTTGCGATAGTGTCTCCCACACGGAATGTTTCCAGCCCAAGAATTGCCTCTTTCCACGCTCTGGGACCACATTACTGACCCCCGGCGAGCGCTAGGGAAATGGTCTTTTTTTTTTCTTTTTTCAAACTGGTGAGCTCCTGCTTCGCTCATGCAGTGGTGGAGCCTTTGCGGTTTACACAACTGCATGTACTTTGCCCTTTATTATTAGAGAAAATGTTCTCAGATGTTCTCTGAGGGAAAGAAACCCACTAAATTACCCCCTAACTCTTCTCCTGCACTATTTTCAAAACTTCAGGGGTTTGAAATAAGTTTAATAAGCTGGCCTAAGTGGAAGTGTAATCTGTAACTTTTGTTTTTAAGGACAGTATGCTTGATTTTTCTCTCAAAAAATGCATCAGTACCTGAGAAACAGGTTTGAAAAGTTTTTCATGAGGATAATGTGTTACTGCACTTATGGGCTCTGGAAACCTTTTGAAATAACTGCGTATTGTTAAGGTGCAGGATTTTTCAGAGGGGGAGAAAAGGATGCTTTTTTGCACACCTACCTGACAGTGTTTTCTGCTGTCAGTTAGCAAATCTTCATCTCTTCACCATCTCTTCCTTCTTCCTGTCTTAATGGGGCTGTGGCCTGGACAAACTGCCCTAGCAAACATGGGAAAGGAAAGTCCCTTTCCATTTTTCTATTGTGCTGCCAACTCTAGTAGTAACTAGAAACCATATTTTGAGAGCTTTCAAATTCAAATAAGCAGAAAATTTAATAAAGTCCTACAGATGTTCATAGACCTAGGTGGAGCTCCAGAACTGTGGCATCTTGAGAGGAGCTGTCGCCTGGAAGTTGTTCTTCTGAGTCTCTGCTTCTGAAACCAGGAAGAAGAGAAACCTGCAGCTGAGCTTGAAGCCAAGGTCACAAAGAACCTGAACAAAATGATGACTTGTGATGAGGCAGATTTTGGAAGCCCAGCAGGCCTGAGTTTGAGCTGTGTCACTTGAGCCAGTCTCTTCACCTCTCTGAGTTTGTTGCCTCATTCATGGAATAGACATAATAAGTGTCAACCTTTAGAATGTTGTGAGAATTAAGTGGGAAAGGGGGCACCGTGACTGGCATATAATCTGTGCGGTGATGGCTACTATCATTAGCTTGGGGTAAAATTATCCAGTTATCTAAACGCGGAAGCTGCCACGTTCCTGGTAGATACGATTCTAAGAAGATTTCTATATGCAGAGAAGTTGCCCAATGTTTTCACATTTTTCTTGGGGTGTCTGTAATTCCAGCTGCAGTGGTTGGAACATGTTTACTTCTGTTCTTTGATGGTCTCTAATCACCGTCCAGACAGGCTAATGTTTTTAAATGATTTTACTCAACTCTAACGGAAGAGAGAAAGAAGGTCAATCCAGAAAATACAAAGAGCATCACTATTTGACACTTCTAAGGTTTAGGTTACGATTTGCTAGCTTCAGAGGTTGCTGGGGATGCTTTCTACCTGTGCTCAGCCTTTCTCTACCTGACAGGTGACTTCACATTTCTGCCATATAGGAGCCATCTACTGGATACCTTGGACATGTGCATCTTCCATGTGTGGAAAGTTGAGAGCAAGATCCGAACGTTAATGTCCCTCTAAGCGGTATTTCCCAAACTTCATTCACTGGCATATGACTATTTTCAGATTTTGCCGTATTCAATATCTGTGGCCATAAACAAAAATGTTAAGTAGATTTATTGAAAAGCAACTCTATACCATTATTATAGATGGAAAACCATTTGAAATTTATAGAAAGGAATGGCACAGACTAATACAATGAAAACAAAACATTGTTAATAAGTTCTAGCTATCATTATTGTCTGCTGAAGGATCTGAAGGCTTTGAATCTGAAGGCTGCTCTCTCTTTCTTAAAAAAGGGAAATTAGAATTAGATGTTCAAGATAAATAACACCAAAGCAATGCTTTCTCTTGACCTAATCAGAATGATTCATAAAACTGAAAGGACTGACTTTATCATGTGTGAGTCTGATCTATGTAATAGTCTGTCTGAGGACCACCAAAAATCCTTCTCCATCTATACTTTGGAAAATCCTGCATTAGAGTAGTGGTTCACACTTTAATGTGCATCAGAAACACCAAAGGAGCTTATTAAACATGTAGATTCCAGGGGCACACCCTCAGAAATTCCAGATCAGTACACCGATATTCATAGCAACACTATTCACAATAGCTACAAGGTGGAAGCAACCCAAATGTCCACTGATGGATGAAGGGAAGACACAAAATGTGGTCTATACGTACAATGGAATATTATTCAGCCTTAAAAAGAAAGGAAATTCTGACATATGCTACTACACAGATGAATCTCGGGGACATTATATAAGGGACCTAAAGTAGTCAAATTTATAGAGACATAAAGTAGAATTGTGGTTGCTAGGGGCTGGGGGAGTGAGAAGTTTTTTTTGGCTGTATTGGGTCTTTATTGCTGTGTGTGGGCTTTAGTTGAGGTGAGCAGGGGCAACTCTTCGTTGCAGTGTGTGGGCTTCTCATTGCGCTGGCTTCTCTTGTTGTGGAACATGGGCTCTAGGCGCACAGGCTTCAGTAGTTGTGACACATGGGCTCAGTAGTTGTAGCTCGCAGGCTCTAGAGTGCAGGCTCAGTAGTTGTGGCACACGGACTTAGTTGGTCCGTGGCATGTGGGATCCTCCTGGACCAGGGATCAAACCCATATCCCCCGCATCGGCAGGTGGATTCTCAACCACTGTGCCACCAGAGAAGTCCCGAGTGGGGAGTTTTTGTTTAATGAGTACAGAGTTTTAGTTTTGCGAGATAAAGAGTTCTGGAGACTGGTTGTACAACAATGTGAATGTACTTAACACCACTCAACGTTATACTTAAAAATGGTTAAGATGATGAATTTTATGTTTTGTGTATTGGGTTGGTCAAAATTTTCGTTCAGGTTTTTCCATAAGATGTTACGGAAAAACCCAAAGGAACTCTTTGGCCAACCCAATATTTTCCACAATTTAAAAAATTTTAAAAGCAAAAACTTTCCAGAGCAGTGAGTTTTGAGTGGGGTTTGGAAATTTACATATTTTAACAATTGCTGCGATAAACATCTTTTCGTGCGTATTTGCCATCTGTATGTATATCACTTCAATGAAATGTCTCTTCATGTCTTTTGTCCATTTTTCTAATTGAATTGTTTTTTATTTTATATTTATTTATTTATTTATTTGGCTGCATTGCGTCTTCACTGCTGTGAGCAGGCTTTCTCTAGTTGCAGTGAGTGGGGACTACTCTTTGTTGCGGTGCCTCAGCCTTCTCGTTGTGGTGGCTTCTCTTGCAGAGCATGGGCTCTAGGCGTGCAAGCTTCAGTAGCTGTGGCATGTGGGCTTCAGTAGTTGTGGCTCACGGGCTTAGTTGCTCTGCGGCATGTGGGATCTTCCCAGACCAGGGCTCAAACTGGTGTCCCCTGCATTGGCAGGTGGATTCTTAACCACTGTGCCACCAGGGAAGCCCACTGAATTGTTTTTTTACTGTTGGGTCCTGGGATTTTTTAATATAATCTACATCTGGGTCCATTGTGAAATATGTGGTTTACAAATATCATTCTGCCTGTCTGTAACTTGTCTTTTAATCTTCTTAATAAGGTTTTCAGAGAGCAAAAGTTTTAATATTAAAGAAGTCCAATTTATCAGTATTTTTTATAGAACATACCTTTGGTGTAATGTCTAAGAATTCTTTTTTTAAAGACTTTGTTGTGTTTTTTTGGAGACGTTTTAGGTTTACAACAAAATTTAGGGGGAAGTAGAGAGATTCCTCATATATCCCCTGCCTCCACACATGCATAGCCTCCCCGATTATCAATATCACTCACTAGAATGGCACTTTTTTTTTTTTTTTTAACTAAGGATGAATCTGTATCGGCACATCATAATCACCCCAAATTCATAGTTTACCTTAGGGTTTACTTTTGGTGGTGTACGTTCTATCTGTTTGGACAAATATATTCTGACTTATAGCCATCATTATAATACCATACAGAGTATTTTCACTGCTCTAAAAATCCTTTGCTATCTGCCTATTCATATTCCCACCCACCCAGTCTGCCCAGCAACCACTGAT